AATAAACTGGCAAAACAATCCATCAAAAAAATTTCCATCATCGATTACCTCACGTTGTGACAATCATGAGAGTCTGTCCGGGTAACTTCACGCATCGTATAGTGCGGAAAACATTTTTGTGAGCGCAGTGCCGATGTTTCAAACGTTTTCCTGCGAATAGAAACCGGCGGCGGATCCCGTGACGAGTTATCGATCGTTCCAAGTGGACTTTCTTCTAAAAAAGAATAATCTACTCGCGACGGGAGATCGCTCACATGCGTGAAAAATATCTCGTCCACACGAACGCCCCGTGTAAAAACACACGGGGCCTTTTGTAGCCTATTTTCCGCGCTTTTCCGTTAGCCTTGCGCATTGTTGTTGCACGCCGCGGACGCATTCTCGCGTCGGTCATCTTCACGGCCAGCAGTTATTAACCGTCGAAGCCTCGTCGAGAGGCATCTGATTGCACGTGAAGACGGTAAAAGTAACTCATTTTTATAGAGCACGTGCCGTATCCGATGCGGACGCATTAACACCCGTGACATTTACGTGGCACGCTCAGAATGAGGTTCTTTAAGGTCATTATGGTATAAGTGGCGGTGTGTGTGCGCGTGAGTGTGTACGTGTACACGTACACGTGTATGTGTGCGGTATGATCTCAACTGTATATCTATCAGGACGGAGCGTGAGCAAAGGACTTTACTTTAAACCGCCATTAGGTGGCTGTGCTCTTGCGCAAACCGCACGCACGGCGGGGAAACTATAGTGAACGATATTTCACAAACGTGATCTTCCCGCCGTGAATGGGTTCCTCCTTCGGGATAAGAGCGAACAAGAACCGTAAAGTCGAATTGCGATCGAAAATACACGATCGACAATACTCTCCCTTTTTCTATCTCTCCTCTTCTCTATCTCAAATTATTCGCAAATTATCGTTAAGTGGACGACACGCGGTGCATATATTCGTTCTAGATCCAGTGACATGCTACGTTCTAATTAGTGCATTTTAAATGTTATTAGATCCTACTAAATCCAGCGCGAAAACAAGCGCCGTGTGCCGTCAACTTTAGACAAGCCGCGTTCTCAATCTTTCTTTTTTAACTCCAACTTTTCTCAAAGAAATATATAAAAATATCAATATTAGATTTGAATCAGACCATTTATCATTGTTTCAAGTATAAAATTTTTTTTATTAAGGAAAAAGATTGCAATTTCTTTGTCCAGTTTTTTTATGTCGAGCATGATGTCGCTAGACACGTCTAATTGGTAGACAACATTACAACTCGTATAATAATTTGAAACTAGAAAATAATCTAGGACTAGAAAATTTAAAAACTGTATTAAATGCACTGGAAGATGAACCTTTGTTATATACAGTAAGTTGAAATTTAACAAAATGGCGGTACTTCAAATTCATTTTTTCTCTCTCTCTCTTCTTTACTCCCGGAAAAAAGGTACTAATTTTAGAAATATTCCAAAGAATTTAGATTCATCCTTTAGCAAACTTAATGTAGTTTCTCAATTTTCTAATCCCATTTGTTTCAGATTATTGCATTAACAGTAATATTATCCATCAATTAAAGGCGACACCGCGCTTAGCGCAAAAGAACCTGGACGTAATTTCATCCCTTTAAGTAATTTTTTTATACTAAAACCATGACAAAGAGTGTGGTCGAAACTCTGTATCAGCATCTTTTCATTTCTTTGAAAAAAATTCGTGAAAACCTCCTATTGTTCAGCTATCTAAATCAAAAACTTTCCCCTTAATCTCGCAGGAGGCGAGAACTTCACTTCAATCTAATTTTAATTACAGACTCATTTCTACCGAGATGCTCGCCGAGATATCCGAGTGTAAATTATTGAGGGCTGCGATCGATGAGCGGCACTTTTGGAATTTCCTGTTTACCGTGCGACACTCGACGTGCGTTTGACTGCAGAGAAATATATCTCGATCCACGTTACGTGTCGTTCCTTATCTGTCGCCGCGCGAGATACGATAAGAGACGCCTGAATTCTTGCCTGTCATACAATCCGTGTGTTGGGACATAATTGTAATCAGCGGAGCTCGGCATCGGCACAGGCGGTCGGATATCCATCCACGCGAGAGAACCGAGGTAACAACCCAGGCTAAGCTATGCAGTAATGTCGTCTATAAAGTCGATAACCAGAGATAGGGCGCATGAGAAATCAACATTACGTGCATTACGCCAACGGTGCACATTATACAGGCCGCTCATAAAACACGCGACCAAATTTCCGCGGCGCGACGAGGGAATCGAGAAGGCGGAGGAAGAAAAATGCTTTATTCAACGAGCTCTAGAGTCGCATTCAAAATTCATTCGTGCTCATTCCACTTCACATTCTCAGCTCTCTCTTTCACACACACACAAACAACACACTCATTCACTCACTCACTCGCTCACTCACTCACTCTCTTACTTTCTCACTCTCTCGACTCTTAGTGATTCGGATTCTAATTTCGTGTTAAACTTTAAATCGACTCCGAGTATTCCGTTTGTATTTCCGCCCCGTTGTCGACGACGCCCGACAACACGACGATCGGTGCTCGCCTCTTCCGTCCGAACGATTCGATGAAGATCTCGAAAATGTAGTTAGAGAACGACTGCGCTCCAGGGACCGACCCAGGCTTAATTTCACTAAAGGGAGCGAAGAATGCCGCTACCGTAAGGGAACCACCCGTCCGCTACATAAGGCGCGGGATGAACCCGAGAATTTTCACGAACCAGGGGAGAGGGGCACATATCTCGTCGTGCGAGGAAGCGCTTTTAGAAGTGCCTGCCTGCGAGACATGCAGGTCGACCCGCAAGTATAAAAGGACGATGAACGCCCGTGGGTTCGCTCTCTTTTTCCTCTTTTTCTGGTTTTTTTATCTCCTCGATTTCAGTCTTTGACAGTCAGTTCGTTTCCTGCATTTCGACTTGTCGGGTCGTGCTACCGACGCGGTTTGACTTGCGACTTTCGTTCGATTCTTTATTCTCCGGTCCAGTTCACCTATTGATCGCACCCGAATGATCAATTAATTTACACGCACACACGCTGCTCCCGGACGACTTCGACGAATTAGCGAATTTCGAGCTGAAAATCCGTCGAATCAACAGTCGACGATTTTCCTCTAATAGATCAAATTTAATTGGACGATTCTGAACTGGTAAGAGAAAAACGAGTTTTCCTTTTACCTTTTAATATCCTCAGGTAGAAGACTCAGCTTTAAAAGGGCATCAACTTTCTCAGAGATATTGACATACATGTGATTTGTGTACATTTAGATATATCCTAGATAACATATATGTCTAAAAGATGTCGAGAAAATATCTAAAAGACATCTTATGCAACATTTTGTTGCATAAGACGTCTTTTAGATATCTTTTCGACATCTTTTAGATATGCACGTTATCTAGGATGTTCAAGTTTTATTGGAATTATTGTTCGCTACCAAGTGCTTTTATTAACCAAAATTAATTAATATTGATTGAATATCTGAAGGTTTTAAGGTAGTTGTATTATTAGGTGACATATTAAGACAGTCGCTCATAAATTTATTATTTATCAAATTAAATTACGCGTTTCTACATATTTTTTTCACTATTTAAGTATCAATGTTAATTTGAAACGAATTTAATTTATATATATATAATACATATTATATATAATATTATATATTAAATATTTAAATAATTTAAATAATATTTATTGTATATATAAATATTTAAATATATATATATTTGAGATGTGTTACTATAAATTATGAACTTTTCACCACTGTATTTTAAAAACAAAATAGACAATAATTGCGAAATCTGTATATAATATCTATATATTAACCTTCAGTATTATATTAGTTTTTTATCAAAGTCTCATGTAGTTCAGGAGATATTGAAAAAAAATTTTAATATAGCACGTTAAATTCAAGGAACATATATTAAAAGTCAATTTTAGTTGCAAATATCTTAGCTCTCGAATGGTCAGTTTTTTTCTAATTAGCAGTTAGATAATATTTCACTGTGTATGTAATGAAAATTCATCAAATTTTCACCAAACTTGTTTCATAATACAACTACTTTAGTATAGTTTCGTTTCATTCAATCTTTATTTCTTAATTCAAATATTACCGATGTGACATGTACGTGAATATTATTGCAAATAAATATTCACCGCAGAACTTCATAACAGGGAAAGAGAAATCTTGTCATATGATTGACAGATGTAGTATTTATGTCACTTAGAAATTGAATCAGTTCCGACTTTAATCCATTTATCCATGAAGAGGTTGAATTACACGAACGTAAATGAAGAAAAGCTCACGACACGAACGATGTGTCATGTGAAATCGGCTCCTCGCGCCATATTGAGCCGTGCTCGTACCAGATCGAGTTGAACGCGATGTGAAAACGCGAGGGATCAACACACCGTGGCAATTTGATCGCGAGTTTTATGAACACCCAGTACACAGACAGCGTGACAACTGCGAAATACCGCGGAAAGTCGAGAAAGAGAGGGACAGGAAAAAGACAGAAAACGAGCGAGAGTGAGAGAGAGTGTGTGAAAGAGAAGAGGAGAAGGGGCTTGGTAGACCTAGCTCGGTGCACACAAACCTTGACGGCAAAGCGAATAATTGCGCGACTGGAAAAGAGGGGAAGGACGCGAGACGAGTCGCGCTTACTAGTCGAACGAGGATAAAAGCAAAACGTTCGGACACGCGACGCGGTGGTAGGAGGAGAGACAAGAGAGAGAGAGAGAAAGAGAGAGAGAGAGAGATAAACCCGATGAATTTCAGTTCAGTCAGACTCGCGTCGACCAGCGACAACGAGCTTTTCACTTTACGCAGATTCGCACGCGAACACGAGCGCGAGCGTCCGTTTGACGTGCACCTGCATCGTCGCTCCCACGTATGCGTAAAGTGCATCGTATACCTTTCGGAAAGTGCAACACGCCGATATCGCTGACGCTCCGCGTTGCGCTAGGAATTTGAACAGATGGCAAGCTCGCTACGACGGGTGAGAATTCGCGGCCTGTAAATCATCCTCACAGAAGTTTATCGTACGCGTGTACGACGTGAGCTCGTCTCGTGTCGATGTTGACAAACTAGACTTTCGTGTTGCATCATGGAGCTGTTTCAGTTTTCACTTTAGTAAGGTGGGAGAGACTAGAGAGAGAGGTGGCTGAGCTAATTTCGCTACCGGGTTAAATTGGCAAACTTGATTATTTCTACTGTTCTTTAACAGATTTCGGAATTGAGCAAGCAGAGATTTCAAAGCCGTTTTTGACATGTTTCAAAAACTTGCTTGCTTAATTCTGTGACTTATTAGAAAATAGCAGAAATCGTTGGTTTTGCCAACTTATCTCGTATCCAACTATAGTTCCAGTCTCCTCTATAAATCTCTTCATAGCGTTAGGTGTCTTAATATTGGATTGTGTAATAAGGAATTTCGAATGAAATTATTCATCCATTATTTCGGGTAAAATATGTAATGATTGCTTTTATATGGTTATGATTTTATGTAACAATCCAGTTAAGCTTTCATAATTATCATAACATGAGACAATCGATGATGGAAACTTTGCAAGCCTTTTAATTACGTTCATGAGGTAAATATACTATATTAAATTAATTATTAAATTCACATTGTACAGCAATGAAATGTTTTGTTATATTGATGTAGCAACAGATTTATTTAAAGTTACATTCAGATTTTCATGTCACATTTAACACGACATATTGTTAGGAGCATATTTTTTTGATAATTTCTTTTTGTATTTTTTTCATATTTTTATCTCGTTATTCTATATGGTAAATATGAGTGTAATATCTGATCAATCTGATAGGAGACTTAACGTTGTTGAATTTCGTGATTTAATGTACTTAAGGTTGCGTACTTAAAGTTTACGCACATCAGTCTATCGGAGAATGCTGGCGAAGGATGCCAAGAAGTTTAAAACGGCGCCTACAATCCCTATTGACTTTCACGATTATCACAACGTAAAATAATGGATGATGAAAGCTTTAAGATCTTTTAAATATAATTCATGAACCAAATATATACCAATACATATATATTGAATTAATTATTGAATTTACGTCATACAATACAACTTTTTCTGTCATGTTGATGCATCGAGAACATTCGCTAAAAGTTACATTTTTATATTAATTCACTAAAGGTTATATTTTCATATTATATTTTATATTTATGTATTTGAAGAAAATTTTAATAACGCAATTTTAATAACGTATTTCTTTCGTATTTTTATTTCCTCGTTCGATGCGATAAATATGAACGTCGTACGGGCCTTCGACCTCACTCATAAGGGATGCAAGCTTTGCAAATCGATTAATAAAAGAGAGAGAAGGCTGACGAGAGAGCAGGTCGCGGTTGTTGGTGCGAATATTCAAACTATGAGAGGATAATAATGTTTGATAGTGCAAACTCACGTGCTGAATATTCGCACCAACAACCGCAGCCAGTTCTCTTTTTCTCTCTTCCAGCCGATTGTATACGTAAGAGTCGTGTTTATATAATTTATTCTTCCAAAACATTGGCGGCAGAAAAACGTTTATTTTATTTTGATCTAATATGATCTATAGACATACTTGTGTTGTTTCGAGATCTCGACAGAATTGATATACTATCCTACTCGGCAAAGGAAGAGGTTCGACTCTTGGCTGAGGCAATATCTTTCGCAACATTTAAAGAGAATTTTAATAAAGAGTATTAAAAGAAAAAAAAAAAAAATAAATGCGTAATTAATTAATAGGAATGGTATAATGGGATTAATTAAGAATAATAATTGGGATACTGGGTCAATTTAACGTGGACGATGCACTGTGTGAGAGAAAATATATCTAAGAAATAAAAAAAGCATTTATTCACGGTGGGTACTGATAACATATTTAATTGAACTAATATATATAAAATATTTTTCAGATAAAAAATATACAAATAAAAATTCTTATTAAGCAAAAAAATATGCATTTTCTTAAAATCTCAACTTTTCGTGAAAACAATTGTTTGTTCTATTTAAATAAAAAAATTCAGGTTTAAGTAAGTATGCTATTCGTATCCACCGCAAATAAGTATTATTTATTTCTCAGATATGTTTCCTCACAGTGTGTATTTATTGCGTGCGTTGCAAGTCCGGAAAAATATTCAGCACCTACATTTACACTTCAATTCAAATTCAAACATTATTACCCTCCTATAGCTTGAATATTCGCACCAACAACCACGACCCGCTCTCATTAGTCTTCTCTCTCTCTCTCTCTCTCTCTCTCTCTCTCTCTCTCTCTCTCCCTCTATATCACACACACACACATTTTTAATCGAATGTGTACCTAAGAATCTTGTTTATATAATTTATCGATTAATAAAGCTACACTAAAAAAAAGAATTTTGTTGTCGAAACGAAAATTTAGCACACCGGATCAAAATTTGATCAAAAATGGAATTAACTAAATGTCTAGTAAGTGCAACAAAAAAAAATTTAATTGCCACATTTTTGCTTTGCTTCCTCTCTAATACATCTTGCTTGACAACTTTATTTGAATATATTTGATTTGACGAAAGTAAAAAATGATAATACCAACCTAATCGTGTATATACAAAATATTTACGTTTTGAATACAAAAATAATTTTTTCAATTCATGTATATCTGTCAAACTGGAATTATATCGAAGAACTAGAACAAACTCAAAATACGAGCGTTTCATTTTGCGTGAGAGAAGTCCGAAATTACTTATTACACAAGCCAATATTTCTCAATATCTTTCAGTGTTAATTTTTTCCTATTAATTATGATATCTCGTTCGATTGCACGTTGTAAACGTCCGCGATTTTAGATTGATTGGACTTAACAGTGTCAGTGGATCAAAGACGCCCGTGTGCGTCTTCATGTTTATGTATGTGACACCGATATTCCGAACGTACGAAACGAGCCCCGACATGTAATTTCGTACGATAATCGACAAGAACTAATTGCACCCGAATCAAACAGTTATTGGCAAATTAACGTTCCATACGTTGTCGATAACAACGTATTCCTCAATAAGCGACGCGATAAGAACACATGACGAAGCGTTAGCTAGTATTATCTTTTCAGAGGACTATTATATCTTTAATTTCGTGACTGCGTTATCGGAACAATTACATCGCGTGTCTCCGGGAAGCGGACAATTGATCGCGCGGACAATGAGCGCGAGGGCGACTTTTCGCGACTCATCGCAGCCGAACAATTCCGTTGTTCCCCGCAAAATTGCACTGCTGCACCCAGCCGGCGACTTTGTGCAGCTTAATAAACTTTAATCGCTGACTCAATGATGGAGGCCTTTATCACGGCGAGAATCACGCAATGCCGGACGCATAACGTCACTTGTAATAATGACGCGTGCCAGCACAAAGTTCCTTAGACGCGGCACGTGACCGCGTTTTGTGGCTAAGTCGAGAGCAAAGGAACAAAACGCGATCTCCTTTACAGGAGAGTGTCGCGCACTAATTCCTTATTCTTAAGGAACATATCCTCATGCCGCTCGAGCGTTCGGTTATTCATGGCCACGTTAAAGCGTAACGCGGCAGACCGGTGCAATATTCATCGCGACGACGAGAGATCCCGGTGAGCTGAGCGCCGACACGTCGGGCAACCCGGTCTCGTCGTCGACGGAGCCAGCGATAAGACCGTATCGAGAATCACATTGCTGCTCCGTAATTATCGTCGCGTTAGCTGACACGCGTGCAAGCGCTTCCAGCGTGAGTCAAAAATAAACTCCTTTCGGGGCCCTGCAATCGCGAGGCCCGATTCTCCAGATTAATATAATTACGTGTGAATTTTGCTTTTATGTGGCTATACATAATCATACGCTATTATGTCTACATGGAAGAAAATGCTGTTTTACACGTACAATTAAGATAACTGCTTGTGTTCACAGCAGCAGCACTGGTGTCAGCGTTTAAAGAGAGATTCTGGTTAAATAAGGCGAGAAATAGGTTTCTACGAATTTTTTCTCGAAGTAATGAATAAAAGTGTAAATATAGAACTTTGAGCACATATACTACTCACATAATTGTTTCAAATATAAAAAAGATTATTTTTAAAAATTTTAAATCCCGCCTAGGTTTTTTGTGCTGAACTTTTGTGCAGTGTCACCGGAAGCCTCTAACTGGTGGACAACATTACAGCCCGTGTAATAATCTGAAACAAGAGACAACTTAAAAACTGCATTAAATTTGCTGGGAGATGAATCTTTGTTACATGCAGAAAGTCAGAATTTAACAAAATAGCGGCACTTCGAAATTACAAGTCACTTTCCTCTTTTCTCTCCTATTTAATGTCAGGGGAAAAGAAAATATTAATTTTGGGAATTTTCTAAAGGATTTAAATCCACTCTCTAGTAAATTTAATACGATTTTTAAATTTTTTATCACATGTTACACTATTTTATTTCAGATTGTTATACGAGCTGTAATGATGTTTATTGGTTAGGGACGTCCGGTTTGTCGCAAAAAATCTGAACGACGGAATTTCAAGTTTTTTAACAGAAAAATAATTTTTTATGTATTTAAAACAATAATAAATAGTATATCCAAAACTCTATATTAATACTTTTATTTATTTTTTTGAAAAAAAGTTTTTAAAACCTGTTTTTCGGCTGTTGAAACCAGAACCTTCTCTTAGTTAGACGAACTGTTCTTTTTTTTCCACTCAGCAACATTTTTTTCCATGTAGATATATATATATATATATATATATATATATATATATATATATATATATATATATATATATATATATATATATATATATATATATATATATATATATATATATATATATATATATATATATATATATATATATATATATATATATATATATATATATATATATATATATATATATATATATATATATATATATATATATATATATATATATATATATATAATTATGTATAATTTATATGTAATTATGTAGAATTATATATATATTTTTTGCTCAGGTTATCAAATATAACTTGACTCGTATCCGTTTTGGATCAAGTAGGATCTCAAATCTGATTATTTTGTCTCATCGTTCCAGACTGAGCTCTGACATCATCAAAATCGATCGGGTTCAGGTTATATTTGACAATAAATTGGACTGTATCAGATATACACTATCGGGCCTTAATTTACAGTCACGAACTCGAAGCCCGTCGGAGAAGCGATCGGCGTGACTTTTCAGAGCATGAAATCGACGATCTCTCTAAGTTTCTCGCTTCGGCCTCTTCGGGAAATACGCGAAATGATTAGCCGCATCCGTTTAATGGCCGCGTGTGGTTTGCAGTATAATTGTTGTGTTCGTGCATCTCTTCCTTCTCCTCCTCCTATAACTCCGCGAAGAAGTTTCGGTCACGTTTCATGGAAGATAGAAAGTTTCGCAATGGCTAGCAGCATGCGCTTTGCGGATGTAATCTTCTTGTCACCGCGATTCATACCGGTTTTTAGATTCCTCCGAAGTTCCCGCGCCCGCTGTTTTCCCTGACGTTTAACTTCGCTCGGCTGTCAGAGCTCGCAATCGCGACTCGATTATTGAACGTTCTCTGGATCCGCGTGACGGATGATGCGCGACAAGACGTTCGCAAAGACATTCGCTTTAAAGCCCATGTCACACTACGGATTGGAAATAGTGGATTGCGGATTGAAGATTAGATTTCGACGAATCAATGCACTTTGGTCTTGGCCTGCTTGGCTCCAATTGGTCAAGCTCCAATCTTCAATTCGCAATCCTCTATCTTCAATTCGTAGTGTGACACGAGTTTAAGTGTGTCGAATGTGCACGATTCTTTCACAGGTCAACCACTAAAACGTCGCTTCATCGGAGGAGAAGATATCGTTTTCGATTCTTGCGCAAGAATACCAAAATAGGCGGAAATTAAAGATGACCAAACTTCCATTAATTTTACATTAACCTTATATTTACAAGCCAATACTAATAATCTGTTACTGCCAATGCGTTATTGTCAAGTTTGATCATTTCAATTGTTTCAATTGTTTGATAATTTCACTTGTAGCCTGCTTCGACGTTTTCAATAATTTTTTTACAGAAGGAAAATAATTTGTAGTACCAATTATAAACATTTTTTCTTATTAAATCACAGCAAGCAATTGTCCAAAGTGCAGGTGAAAGTGATTAACATTAAGATTAATCTAATCGACGAACTGGCAGAGTTGTTAAGAGTAATTGTTGAACTATGTAATTTGTCGACAATCACCAAAAAATTAATAGTGACGGAATAGAGTAGTCAACATTCGACTGATGGCAATTTTAAATACGAGTTATATGGAAAAAATATTGTAGTAAGAATTAGATTGATATTAATATTCCTTTTCACTTGTTTTCTTAGAAACTTGTTTTTACAATGTTTTCTTAGAAACTATATAATAAAATTGTGATATAAATTATTATAAATTTTTAATGATCTAACTTACAATGTAAAAAATATGCAAATAATTGTAATTTTGTAGTAAAAAGCCAAATATACTTAGCATTTTTAAACAAATATACTAATTTCAGCCATAATTCTGTATGGTCCAAAATTACACAACTTCTATAATAATTTTCATTACAATATTTTTTTCGTGTACAAAAAGAGAACAAGATAATTTCTTAGACTCAATTTCTCAAAAGTAGTTTAAACTTAAAGTTTAAACGCACCAAACACACTGTTTGAACACACAGAGTTTGAACTGAAATTTACATTTGGACAATTATTGAAAAATTTATAATCCTTCCTCGAC